GCTCAGAGTTTAACCTAAAATATGATTACTAGTTCCAAACCATGGGGACTGCACGTTTTCTACTACCCGAATTCAAGAAAGCCACTTCCCCTTTTTTTCGTGATCTCCGCCAGTTTTCGTCTTCCGCCGCTCTGATCCGACGTGCCTGGACTATCTTTCCGGAGGAGCCCGAATCAGATGACCAGGATGGCGGAAGCTCCGTTTACAGGCGCGCACTCAAGTACCAGCGACCCATCACCATTCAATACGATGAAAACTTGCGCAATTCTGTCAGCTTAATTGGTACTATAGACTACCCTTTCAAAAAATGCAATACCACCACAGGACATTTTGGCGTACATACTATTCTCAATGTCAAAAATTCCCCTGGCTCGTACCGCGACTTGAAGTAAGGTTTCCGTTAATATTTGTTTCTGCTTATAGTTTAGTTTAGTTTTTTATCTTTATTTTTTCCGTGTGGGCCGTGCGCTGGGTATGTAGCGGTTTATGCTAGCGATGGACGTAATTTTATACATATTGTACAGGGTACTGCTGAAAATGTGGAATGAAATGGCGGAAATATCGGTCCAGCATCTGAAGCCAAACGATTTAATATATGTTTCAGGTTATCTAGGATGGTATACCAAGTTGGAAGAATATGGGAGGTGTATCCGTTGTCATGAGGTTTGAAATGCTATTTTCATTAACAGTTATCAAGTGACTGGCATTTGTGCAAGATATATCTACTTCTCCCCCTAATGGAACACTAAAACAGAGCAATGCAACTTGAATTCGGAACCTTACAATATTATAACCTAGTTGTTAATTCTTTTTATTCATGAATCAAGGTTATGTTGCCAAATGCCAAGATGTAATACTTCTATGAGTTGTGCCCTCTTGCTTTTGTTTATAAAGGATTTCTATGTTGATGTAACATGGAGTGCTTATATTGTTGGAGGGTGGTATTTGTCCTTAAAATCAAGTTATAAGAAACATGTCTTGTACTAAGGAACCAAGGATATAGCTCTCATTCCTACAGAACGTATATTAGCAATAGTGTTCTCACTAAGCCCTTGTTTGATAAATGTTAAAATTAGATTTTTAGCATATTTTGATAAAAGTTGATGGAATGTGTGGTTGAAAAGTTGTGGATCATGTGCAAGTGTGGTTAAAATTAATTATTGACTTGACTTAGATTTTAATTAGATATTTTAGCGGTACCAAATAAGGCCTAAGTGTTAGTTCTCATCTTGCTTGAGTCCACTTGTGTTTGCACAAAATTTACTTATTGTTTGGTGGAGTTAAAATGGAGTCTCTAATTGAATTCAGAAAAGAAGTGAGTTTCAAAATACCAGTTGCAAGGCTCAAATTTCATATCGTCAAACGTATTGGAAGTGTATTCTATTAGTTTATGTTACTTTTTGTATCAATACATTGAAATAACTTCTTAGTATCAATTTATATTATTATTAGTCATGAATCAACTTAATATATATCATTGTTATTACTTTTTAAGAGTTAATAGTATTGGTTATATTAGGAACTGAAGCATAGTATAAAATTTAATTATCAACAAAAACAAAAAGTAGATAAAGAATGAAATGCTATCAAATATATGTTATTATCTTATATAAAGTCACAGAAGTATATATTATTATCTTCACTCATATTATTCATAACTAATTCACTTATATGAACATACCAAATCATCCTTGCCCAGCCCAGAGTCATAGATTGGATGGTTAATTCATTTGGGATTCTTCTATATTTAGAATGATTGGATCAACTGCTCCGGCTTGGATGCTTGTTTTAAATTTCTGTCTGCAGGATACATTTGTTGATATATCTCTATTTTTAAAATTTTTTATATGTAGGTTCAGGTTAAGGAGATAAATCTTGTTGCTCAAAATGGTTTGGCCCCGGCTTGCAAGAAATCAAAAAAATTGGAATCGGGAGGTAGATAACTTCCTTCTATTTTTGGCTTTGGTGGTAACGTCAGGCTTCTTAGAACCTTTTTGACATTGCTTCCCACTAATATGCTGCATAATAACAGTAAATTGATCAAAACATTTTGAGCTATTAAGGTAAAAAGTGACTCATTGAAGATATGACTTGCTGGAAATCAGACTTCTTCAACACAGTTCTACTGACCTAAAGATTAGCTTTTTAGAAGTAAATAATCATGAAATATTTTAGCCAAGAGTTTTCATTTTCATGTCAATATTCCTTTAGTTTTCCTTTTCTTTTTTCTTTAGCGCTCTCCACCTAGCAGCACTTGAGCTAGAACTAGATTGTTACAGTTTTCTGTTTCTTTAACTTAATGGAAGGGGCAAACAATTGCTAATTTAGAGTAGCATAATTGATCCATGGGCAAGGGTTTGTGATATATGGATTTTTGATCAATTTGCAGATTTGACAGTAGATTATGCACAGAAGAAACGAGACAGGCTCCATTTATGGCAAGTTTTCTTTGCCAACCCTAATGAGTGGTGGGATAATAGGAAGAGTAAACCTCACCCAAATTATCCAGACTTTAAGCACAAGGATACCAGTGAGGTTCTTTGGCTCCAGGACAATGATCCTCCATGGATCAAACAACAACTCCAATTGTACGATACTAGATGGAGGGAACAGAGTCCAGAAAACACATTAGTCCCCTTTGGTTTATGAGGGCACATAAGGAATTGAAACTCAGATACGGTGCTCCAAGTAGCGAAACTGTGATTAAATATACTATCTGTTCAGTTGTTACCAATAACATAGATTGCTGCCGCACGAGGCATTTCTGATGTTTGGATCTTATAGCTTCCCATGCATTAAGAAGGAAGTGACTTCGTGTTTCAAACGAAATGTCCTGGCCATAATTAGTTATTGCAGCTTCGAGCCGCAAAGAAGTGTCAGTAAAGGAACATACACTGGTTAGTGACATGGTGTTGCACCACATAAAGAAAAGCTCATCAGCTCATGTCCTCCTTGATATCAACTGTACAGAGTTTACTTCAGGAAAAAAAGGTTACACAGGTTAGTGACATGGTGTTGCACTCTATTGTATTTGCAAGTCATACTTTTTTACCCGACTGAAAATTGACCATATGATATTGTTTTATGGAGATTTTTGAAATATTCTGAGAACACGGGTAGTATAATGGCTTTCCGTGCATAAAGATTTGAGTGACAAAAAATTATACTTGAACCAAACATGTATATTGTTTCTTCCTTCTATTGTTTATATTATGAAACCCTATAAATTAATAATCTCTTTTATGTAAATTTTTTTATCGTTTTAATTTGGCCAAGGAAATGAATTTTGACAATATCAATGTCAGATAAAATTCTCTTACATGGATATGTGGTTTCACTACAATGGCTCCCTACGCCTAATAAACACTCCGCGTTGAAGTTGTAATAAGCCGCCAGATAAATAACATTGCCGAACAGCTTGGCCGCACGAACCAAGGTGTGAGCACAAGACAATGACCCATAACAAGAAACACAAATAGAGCCCAATCTTGTTAGAGTGCATTTGGTTGTCGCACCTCCTGTTATGTAACGTGTGTTCTTAAAGTGAAGATATGTAGGTCTTCTAAGGTGTTGGTTATGCATGTTTAGATGTGTGTCTTTGTTTGGGAAGTGATTTTTCTTGTTTTGAAGTTCAGTCCAAACCTAGATCATGAACATAACTTTCTCGTCCATGAACAAAGCATTATTGATTTGGGATATTTATGATTTTGATAATTATGTTTTTGTTGAAAATTTTGAAAATATGTTTGAAGTTCTTATAAATTTTCAAGGTATACATTATTTTATCTATTAAAATAGTATTAAAAATAGAAAAATGCCTGAATACGTCTAGACACATCTAAGGCTTGAGACTTGACCTTCATGAATTGTCATGCCTTGTGCCTTTTCAAACGTCTGATGAATATGAACTGTTAGAAGGTCTGAATCTGAAACGATTCTGAGGTATAATGTTATTGATACTTTGAGGTTCTTTTATAATAAACTCCAAAGTTAAAATAATAAAAGAAAGATTGACTTGCATCGTACACTAGCTTGTTAAAATCAACACTCAAATATTTCGTTTTATTTATTTTCTTATATGTTTTTACTATCTCAAGTTACTCTTCATCTTCTTCAAGTCAATTTTTGGTATGTGAATTGCTAGGACAATGCATTAAAACCTTGAGTATCTGGTTATTCTAGTAATTTTCCCCGTCAACGGAGACATGTTGGCACACCCTTGCCTTCCTCGGACAACTCCAATCAGTGGCATAGCATTCTCAGTTACTTTTATACAAGTTTTTGTACTTTTTCCTGTTTGCTTGACTCACCAGTTCCGTCTCCACCACGGTCATGCACCTTCACTTGTTGCTTTTGTATCAACCTCAAACATGTCCTCATCAAGAGTTTAGTGCATCCACACAACCCAATTACTTTAATTAGGAGTGATTTCCTACTTATGATGGGTATGACAAAATATGCTCAATGTAGACTTGGACATATAACTTTTGACAATTCAACGTTGAATTGTCAAAATTTGTAGGTTTGATCGTTTACGGGGCGTTATCACATTAGTTGTGGACATGATAACTCTTATCCATCATGAATAGGAGATCATTTCTGTTATTTTAATATTTGAATCATCAAAAGTTGCAGATTTGATCGTTTATGTGGTGTTACCACATCAGCGGCGGACATGATAATTTTTACTCACCATGGATATGAGATCATTTCTGTTACTTTAATATGCATATTCGACATATTTGATCGCAGCAGTAAAGTCGCCGTGAAATTAGTAAAAATGTACTAGGAAACAAATCATTGAGTAAATTCTAAAATGCAATGATAATTGTGGGAAAATATTCAACTCGTACATTAACTCCCATAATTAATGGATCGAATTATTTATAGTATGAAGGATGCGATATTTCAATCCGAAGTGGGTAGGAAGGATGATTATGTTAGGCGGTCAATGAGCCGCCTCAGTGGGGCCAAATTGTAACATTCAGGAATTCTAGTCCATAATCATCGCTCTCACAAAATATCACGTGGCCCCATTTGGATGGATCTATGCCTAACTTTTGAAAATTAAGTTTTCTTGTCCAAATTGATGAATTCTTAATAGTTTAGTTTTTGCGAAGTCACGCTAGACAACATAAAAAATTAAAAATATACATATGTTCCTATTCAGGTTAGGGAAATATATATTCTCAGATATGCCCTTCCAAATTTACCACCTTCTTGATGGTTATATTTTAATCATTTTCAGGGTCGCAATAAATAATATCTAAGGCTTCGTTTGATAGGTGTTATTTTCAAGGGAAATAGAAAAATATTTTTCACTTTACACTTTTTTAGCTGTTTGATAGACAAAATTTTTCATGAAAAATATTTTCTGAGTTTCGCCCACACGTGTGCATTTTTCGGGTTTTTGATGAAAATTTTTTTGATGGGAAAAAATTTTTCAGGCTGGCTGCAAATTTTT